AAAACATTCAGCGCGGTAAATTTCCATCTTTAATTAAACCTCACTTCTTCAAGAGACGAATGACGATTTTATAAAAGTGGTTATCTTGGTAGACTTGTCTGCCATATTTTTGGCATCTCCACTTTCAATTTTGGTATGGGAGTTTGGCAAATGCAATGGCTTTCCCAGGAACCCGTCTCTCATTTGGACGCTTTTGTTGAAATACTTCACAATAGATTCAAGAATTGTACCTTTACGCAACGGAGTCAGTTCTTGCTTTCTTTTCACTGCAACCCAGTAAGAAGTAACTAGTTTCTTAATGGACTCTAACTTTTCTATTTGCTTCACGATCTTTTCGGGACGTGACAACAAAGGCTGAGCAAGGCCTTCGAGACGTTTCTTACGTAAGCTTTCTAAGAGCTGTACTGATTTTTCTCTTGATTTCTCCATCTTTTCAGCCCTTTTGTTAACAGCAGCCATTGCAGATGTGTGGAACAGGAAAGACCTCGCATAGTTCAAAGGAAACATTCTTTGCAAGGATCTATCTTTGCCAGAGTTCGTACATGTACATGTATAAAGCCGGTAAAACCCATTGATTCCCAGCACGTGAACAGGTCGGAAATTTGTAAACAGTGACCTCGTTGTCCTTTTTAGCATCAAATTTCGCCCGCCCGATCAATTACATTGAAGTTTCTTGATTTCCCGTACACTACATACCATACTGAAAGGCATTTTCTGCTAGTATACGGGTGTAAACTGTACAATATCATAACGTCCGAAACCCGGGGTCCGAAAACAGCCGCCATTTTGGTCTAGATCTCAGTCTAGCCGGTTATGTTCGTCGTTTAAGCTCCGGAAGCTCGGAATTCTTCCGGAGAACTTCGGATTTCGATCGTGCTCATAGTAGTCTGGGACGGAGAAATTGCACCACAACACAGGTGGGACGTCGCAACACGCGACCGGCGCCTGAGTGAGAATGATTTCTCACTCTACAAGTACGATGCGCGGAAACTGTTCGGTTTAAAGATGCACATGTACCTCATCAACTTGCAGTTGCTTTTAATGAAAGTATTTTAACATACGAGATAAATAAGATATTTCATCCTTGACGGCCTCGATTTTGGGTAAGTTTATCAACTTTCTCTGTACACTCGTAAGACTTCGATCTTACAGTAAACAAGAACCCGAGCTTTTTGCCGAGTCATGAATTTATGGTTTAGGTGTGTTGTAACACTTTGCTTGTTCCATAACACCAGTAACATAATGGGAAATATCTGTACTCAGCAGTCGAATGGCAAGTAAATAACGTGCACATGTTGTACATTAGTTATGCAACTTTAATTAGCTAGGGTTTAGCCGGTGCGAAGTTTCTTTCTCGGCATGCATATGTAGCAGATGGGCGAAGTCACGTCAATATTAATTTTATAGGCGGAGCTATCAGTTATCTGGTGCTGTTAAGTGCAGTAATAAGTTGATTTGAAATAATGTTTTCTCTTTGGGGCGTATAACAAGTATGCACTATGCTTTTGAAAGAATGAAAGATGCGAATGCAGTCATGCATAACACTACTGGAAAAATGACCTGAGTGACTATGCTTGTTTTACAGCATGTGCAGTGTATTGTACGCATCATGGTTTTTTGCAAGTGGGATGATCAAAACCTAAAAAAAAAGAAATCACCGATTTTCCCTTGTTGTTAATACCTCCCAACATGTACTACATAACTGAGTTCCACCGATTCAACCATAACGAAATATGCCAAATAACTAACATCTCCAAAAATATGTGTGCAAATATGTGGTTAAAACTGCCTCTTATATCTGGGAGATTTGTTGACCTGTACAGGAGACCATGAGATGGGTTTCAACAAAACACTTACTCCTGGTTAGGCAGTCAGCTGACCCCCCCCTACTGACCCCCCCCCTGACCCACTATAAAATCAATGGAAAAATACAATTTAATAAAGGCCAGAACTATCAATGAGACCAATTCAAGTTCACAAATAAATTTAGCTCACTTGAAATTTCTAGGATGGTGGATGAGTTGCAGACTTTCAAACCTCTCTTCTCCTTTGATTGTAAGTGAAGGTTTTGCTTACGAAAAAAATTGAGCATTTGAATAAGTTGAAATAATAATCATCGAGAGTGGTATTTGAAAATAAAGAAAATGAAAAAAAAAATAAAAGCAAAATAAAGCAATGGAAGACACAAAGAAACGCTGGCAGTATGAACACACTTGTGATTTACTGCGAGCGACATGAACACTGATAAACATCACTGGGAAGTCGGTTTTTGCGTGGTACTGTAGTTCTAGGTATCTCACTAATTGTCCCCAAGCCACTATTCAAATTTAAAAGTGGTTTTGGATAACGTTCTCCTTGATGCATCTGGTTGGCAAACAAGACCATGAATTCTCAAGTAACTCAGTTTAATTTAATCAACACTTTATACCTGTAAATACATGTATAGGCATGGTGAGCAACTTTAAAGGAACAACAGGGGATCAAGCTTCATTGGGAATGAGCCTATCTTCCTAATGTTAAAGCAATTTTTCAGTAATTTATTATTTCACTGGATTGTACTGAGAGTGTTGACATTGTTTTGTTGGGTGGTCGTATAGGGTCGGTTATTAACTTATTTGTAGCGATTTTTCCATTGTGAAAAAGCACTTGAAATGTGTGACTTCCCCTTGACATATCATATGTGCGTGTTGCCCATGGTCACTCACGAATACATTCACTTGCCAGCATTTCTTCATTTATTTACTTTTGATATGTTTAATTTTCTAAAATGTAATGGGCACAAATACCATTCTTGATACATGATATTCCAACATGTTCCTTGCTTGATTTTCGGTAAATAAAACCTACACTTAAAAATCTGCAAAATCAATAGGAAATCTGCAACTCATCGGTTATCTTGGAAATTTCAGGTGAGATAAATTTATTAGTGAACTTGAATCAGTCCTATTGATAGTTAATCCTCAGGGCTTTTTAATATTTTATTTTCCTGTTGATTTTATAGGGGGTCATTAGAGAGTCAGTGTTTTGTCGAGAGCCCCATGGCCACAAGATGTGGCTTTGTTTTAATTTTGTTCATCAGGTCACAGTGATTTTAAATAAACAAAGGAAAGGATTTTAAATTGTACTCATGGAAGGGCATATTCAAGAAGGTTCAAACAGCTCCACAGATCAACCAGAGAATTTCAATGATGTTGGGTGGGCTTCATTTCCTGAGATCAACGAGAAAGAACCTGTGAGAAGGGTAAGCCATTGTTAAGGTTGTTATTTAACCAGGTGGTTATCATACATGTGTGTTATCAATTAAGAGTGATTGTACTGTTGTGTTAAATAGTGACATGATTTAGTAGAGTAAACACATAATAGAATAAATGGTGTAAGTTGCACAATTTGATAGGTTGCAAGGACTAAGAAGGTAGCATTCAAATTGTAATATTCCTATGTTTTACAAAAGGCTTAGATAAAAATCAGATATCTGAGTGGTTGAAGACATTGCCCTTATCATTCTATTAGAAGTTCTGATCATGTGTACTAAAGGCATCCACTGCTGAGTGTTGATCGATACCCTTAATCAATGCCCTTGATCTACCCTTGATCTACCCTCAATCGACTAGTACTGGATCAACACATCGCTTGACACTTGATTAACACTCGATCGACGTCCCAGTCAGTCTAGAGTTCGCTGAATTTTGCAGGCACATGATTGAGTGTGGATCGATACATATGAGTCAGTTGACACTTGCTGTATATCAACTGACACTCGCGCCAATCGGGTGTCAATTGAGATGTTGTTCAAGTGTCAACCTAGTGTCAACTGAGTATTGATCAAGATGTTCATCAAGTGTTGATTGAGATCCAATCAAGTGTTGATGGAAGGCTGATCAAGGGTATATCGATCAACACTCGACTGCAGATGCCTTTAGTACAAATATAATGATCCCAAGTTTTTTCTATTTATCTTGTTTTTTTTCTTTCAATGCAGAGGCAAAATCCTGAGGATAGAACCAATTTTCTCTCAAAG